ACAGTTGATGACATATACTGATCATGATAACAGCAATACTACTAATAATAGTAATAATAAAAATGATGATACTACTACTACTAACAACAATGATAATGAACTATTGATAATTGTTTTTCTTATCACTATTGCCATTATCATCACAATAATAACATCAACAAGCAAGCAGGAGTTATGAGAGTGTCGCGCGAGGAGGCAGCGAGGCAGAACGAACAGGTGTGAGGAAATACCTGAGATGCGAAGGGACCCTTTTTCCCTTCCGCTTCTTCCTGGAGACGAATGGAAGAGACAACGCTCAGACAAGTTATTCTCAACACTAGAAATAAGTCTAGTCATCATGACATGCATTGCTGAAAGTATAACGATAAAAGAACAAAACAAAACTCTTAAGAACAGCATCGCTTGGCTCTGCTGGGTATGCTTTCACGACTTGCAGCGCTCTCGCAACCTTTAACGCGCAGGTCATACGCTCGTGAATACAGCTCAGTCACGCATCTGCAAACACGACACACCTGTACCGCACATGAACCATATCTGTAAACTATTTTGAGGAATGCATTTTGCAACAATTTGGAATGATTTGTAATATTTCTCTCCGCCTGTAGCATTCTCACCTCTGATATCATCATGCATGCAGCTCTTGTCTATGCAAGATACTCATTTGACACTTACTGGTCACGTTCACTCGTGCAGATTTATTTACAACAGACACACTGTGCTTACAGCCAAGAGCACTTTGCTGAGGCTTTGTGTACATTCATGCAGGCGCATCACGCACATCTCATGCGCACTTCTAGATATACCAGTGCATACTCAGCTATACTGGTAGGCTAAGTATAAATGAGAAGCAAAAAAGCATGATTTAAGTGTTATTGTGTCATAGGTGGTGAAACTAAACTGCTTTTGGCCAAAGTCCCTGGTCTCAAGTCCTCTCTCTCTCTCTCTCTCTCTCTCTCTCTCTCTCTCTCTCTCTCTCTCTCTCTCTCTCTCTCTCTCTCTCTCTCTCTCTCTCTCTCTCTCTCTCTCTCTCATTTACACACTCACATCAAGGTCAAATGGTCTGTGTCCTCCGCGGGGTCAAAACACACTCCACACTAAAAGGTCAGAGGCAAAGGTCATCAGACAAGGCTGGAAGGTCACTATGTCAGTTACACAGATGGTTAAAATGCACCAGCTCACAACGAGGTCAAAGGTCACTGCCAAAGGTCCTAGGGGTCTCCCACCTTGCTGATTTGGGCTCCACGGTGTACTGGTGAAGGTCGGACACCACGGCGGTGGCCACGACGGGCTTGCTTCCGAAGGCCCGGTGGTCGACCACGCGCAGGGTCAGCGGCGGCATGTACAGGTCCTCTTTGGGGAGTTCCTTGGGACACGGAAACAGGTCAGATTTGTGGCACTCGTTTTAGAACTAAATGAAAAGGAAAGTAACGGAGGAAGGTTTTTCACGTGGCACTCAGTAGGTAGATTTCGGAAATACTACCTTCCTTGTAAATGTAAAACCAACATTTACTCTATTTTGATGTGATAAGGTATCAGCCTCATAACAGAACTGTAAGGATATCTAGAGACACGTTCTTTAGATAATATTTTACAACTTGCACCTATTTCTGTTTCTACGCTCGTGCTTCACTGTTCTCTGAGGCCATGCAAATAAAAACGACTAATCACATGTAGATATCCAAAGTATAATAATGACGAGGATAATGATGATAATACTCATACTCGTAGAGACTCACCACATCAAAGACCAGGTGAGGCTTGTCGAAGTTGGGGTTGACTCTGAGGTTGGCCATGATGGGCGACGTGACCCTCTCGCCGCCGCACTCGAACTCGATCGACGGACGCGTCACGGACTGCAGCTCGAAGGTGGCCATGTTGCGGACGCCCCAGCACAGCACCTGCGGGCGGCGGCGGGGGCGCAGCAGGAGGGGGAGGGTGGAAACAAGGGAGATGGAGGCGGAGGAGGAAGTGGAGTAGAAGTAAAGGAAGAGGTGGGGGAGGAGATGAGGAGGGTATGGAGTGGAAGAAAAGAAGATGGAAGAGAAGGCGGAAGTGGAAGCAAAGGAGAGGATGGAGATAGAGAAAGTGGAAAAAGAGAAAGTGAGAAATGCATTACGTTTCGTGGGATATAAGCAGTAATATAACTGCAAAACCCTACCAAAGTTCTATAATGTGAATTCACAACGTAACCTGCGACAATTTCACCTTGCAACGCTACCATGGGTGTAAAAAATATAAAGACATAAATAAATGAATGAATAATAATAAGATTCTTGAAAATCCCCCTGAAACCCTTCTATTCCACTGCAGTCTTTGCATACCTCAACCCTGGTCTTCTGCAGGAGGGGCCTCACGCCGAAGGGGACCATGTAGAGGTCTCCGCGCGTCGGGGGGAGAATGGGCAGCTCCTCCGCCGCGTCCTTCGGGAGGAGCTCGAAGGACGCCAGGAGCTCACCTGCCGAGATCATCAAGGACTGTTTACATAGTTTGTATACTATTAACTACTATTGTGGGTTATTTATACTTTGTCTTCCTTTTTCTTCTTCACTCTTTTCTTTTTCTTCTTTTTCTTCTGGTAGTCTACCCTCCATTGTAAATATTTTGTTACGTAAACATTTATCTACATCTCTAAATTCTTACCTTTCGTGTGACCCTGTTACCTCATGCACTCTACATTCCATTCATGAAATCTCAGTATACCTTCAGTCACAAACTAGAGTACACGGCTTTCATAAAATCTCACATTGCCTTCATATATGCATTCCAAATTAATGCCATCCATCATTATTTCGCCTTCAACCATGAATTCCAGAGATATCCCATTCATAAAACTTCATTCACAAAAAAAAACAGGACATGTCATTCATAAAATCTCACTGTGCACTCATCAGATCCATCCAGACTAGCAACTCTCTCCTCGAAATGCACATCTGTTGCCGCACCTTGCTTGTCCTTCCCTCGCGAGAGCGGGTACCACTTCAGAGGTAGCGCCTGGTACGCCTCGCCCAACTCGACCATGGTAGGAGAGCAGAACACACGCCCAAGGAATTCGGGGGCGCCCTGGGGGAGACGGGGACGAAAGAGAGGCCTCAGTGCACCAGAAAATGGATATGTATTTTGTTTCCAACACTACCTTGTTTTGCATTTTCAAAAGGCTGAGAAATGCGTTTAGATGTGCTGCATGTTCATCGTGGATTATTCGAGCAGATCGTTTAGTTAAAGTTCGGCTATTTCAGTTACCTTAAAGTCGGCATGACATGAACTGGTAAAATATTAACAAATGAGATAAAATCTATGAATGTATAGATAGACAAACGAAATAATCAGTTCTTGAAATAATGATTACAATGATTATTAACATCAATATCGATAACAACAATAAGTGATAAGTCTGATTATGACGTCTCACCCTGGCATCCCAGTCGAAGACCTCGACGACCACCTGCGGCGCCTGCGTGCGGGTGGTGAGCACGGGGCCCGCCAGCTGCACGTCGTCGAAGATGAGCGTTTGGTCCCACGTTGGACACAGCGTCGCCTTCTGTTTCTCCGTCTGCTGCGTCCCTGCGCAGAAGCTCACCACGGCGTAGGGGTCTGAGGGGCGAGGGAAGGGTGAGCTTGAAACTCGACGAAATGGAATGAAATGGCGTCTGGGGTTCGAGCTTTTTCACTAATGCTGGCGCTGTTCGTGTTCTTAATATCGAATGATATGTTTGTTAGACCTTTTTCTCGTACTGCCAGGGAACGTGCATACAGGAAGTCCAGGCTTATTTTCCAAAGTTATCATAATTATATTTGTTAATAATTGTAATAATTCATTAACAACCAGTCCACACAAGCTGCCTTGGATCAGATATTATTTACATTATGATAATGATATAATATTAATATGATAATATATATACTGTAATATATGGAACAAAGTCAATTAGACAACACATTTCATCCGTCAAGGCAGACGCATTTCTCCTCACCCGAGAGCCCCGTCTTGTCTCCCGCCGGCAGGTCACGTGCCTGGTACACGTGCGCGCGGAGCTGGAACACGTGGCGCTCGGCGCTCACCACGTACATCCGCGGGCACGTGAGCTGCGTGATTGCGTCATCGCCTGAAAGTGCACAGAGTAGCAGCTAAAAAAAAAAATGACAGCAGACAAGCATAAAGTCGACAAGACAGTTTTGACAACGGATAATAATCATAATACTGAAGAGCTTTTTTGACTGATCATATTCCTTTCTAGAATGTTTAGACTGATAAGGACTCTACCATCTCCCGCCTTCACGACGAGCCTTGGCGTGGGCGGGGCTCCTCCGGGCTGGGCGGGCACAAGGCGCCTCCTCCACCTGCGGCGCCTCACCATGTCCACCTTCCTCTCGAGGGCGTGGAACTGCAGGCGGAACAGGGGGGCGTACTCCCAGCCCTCCACCTGCCCTGCCTCCTGGTGCTGTGTGGACGTCGCTCAAGGTTATCGAGTTGAATCTCCAAATATTTTCATATTACATTGCTGGATCTTATAAAGTGAAGACGAGACAACAGAAAACCCGTTACTCATTAAGTAGCGCATCGTTCCACTGACCTTTTCGACCTTGTGGACCAGGAAGCGCTCGCGAATCCACCTCCTCCTGCGGGTCACGTGGTAGATCTTCTCCTGCGGCGACCAGCCCACAAGGCCGCTCTCCACCGTGTACTCCCAGCCCTCGCCGTCCACCGCGCGCTGCAGGTCGTACTGCAAAAGCAACGTATTTCCGTTATGTGTTCCGAGCATTACACACACGCGCGGGCGCGCAACGGTAAACCGGCCTGTATCCTTTTTACCAATACAGCAAATATGATATCAATTTATGGTTTATGAAATCAGCCTCATCAGATTGATAACTTTGTCTTCCATCTCAGGCTAAAATACTTGAACGTTATTCATCTTTTAACAGAAATGGTACAAACTGATGATACACATGATTTTATCTGACCTATGACATTTCTTAAATTATCTCACATTGCTTAATAC